AAGAGCCCCATCCGGCGGCGGGCCCCCCCCGCCCCGCCGTATCTCGTAGGAGCCGTGTTCATGATTCCTTTCCCCCTCTTGAGCTGGCGAATGGACCGGCGACAAATCTTCTTCACGCTATCGGCCCCATTGGTCATGGTCGGGTATTGCATGTTTCTTGAATCTACGGAGTCGTCTGTCCTGTACGCAGCAACGTTTCTCATCGCCATGTCAACCTTCGCCAATGGCGCCATGTGCAATGCCCAGGTGTCTGCGAATGTTATCAGCGACATGGCTCGAAGCTCAGCGATCGGACCCAACGTCATGTTTGGAAACATTGGAGGGTTGCTTAGCAGCTGGGCCTTCCTACCGTGGGACGCTCCGAATCATCACATCAGCAACGGACTGAATCTGGCTGCCGCGGGCACGATTTTTATTGTCGGGTTGCTGACGCACTTGTGGATGAAGTTTGACAACAAGAGACGTGCGACGCGCGACGCTGATGAGGAACTCAGAGGTCTGTCCCAAAAGGAAATTGAGGTCGTGGAGTGGAAACATGCAGCCTTCCGGTGGAAGCCTTGAAGGGGGACTGAATGCCCATGAAGGATCGATACTGGTGGTTAGGGTGTAAAAACGGGTGCCCCTGGGCACCCGTGGATATCCAAGTTGTTCTCGGGTTATTTGTGGGCTACCCATTTTCTTATGGGTGGTTAAGGCATTCCACGGGTAACCCAAAAAAAGCATGGATACCCACGGGTGCCTATAATACTACCTATTATAGCTTGTTAATAATTTTTCACATATTAAATTAAATTAAATAAAGAGTCAAGTCTTGTGAATACCTAAAACTACCAGTGGATAATTATGGATAACCCATTTTCCTTCAGACACATTTGGGTCTTTTTTCCCTATCCATACCTACCTAAAGACCACGGATGAGCTACCCATACTGGGTAGCCGTGGACCTTTTACACCTTACTGGTGTACCGGATACATATATTTTTTCTCTCTCTGTATGTCTTCTTTGTTCCAGAAATGGCATTAGGTCACCTCTCAATGTAACGAGCACAAAGACAACACTCCTGCCGAAAGCTGAAACCATGCATATGTCGTGCTACCTCCGGGTTGCACCTTCCAGATGGGAATCGGGATATCCGCGCAAGTGGGGTCGACATCGGAATACGCTCGACAGCCTCACCTTTACGACAATCAATATCAGAGCATCTTGCATTTATAAGCGGCGCGATCCATGACAATCCATGGTGAAAAGGACAGAGATTCTTCCTTGACTGAGCGAGGCCCAAACACAACCTAGATTGCTCGTCATCCATCCGCTCAACGTCTGCGGCGAATCTGCAACCATGGCTCCGGCTCCAATCCCAACAATCATCATCATCGGGTAAAGTAGCATCATGGACCAGCGAAGCTCCTGCCAAGCTAACAAGCTACAACTAGCGCCGGCGTCATCGGTCTCTCGACTGCCGTCAATTTGCAGCAAACATTGAGAGAGATCATGAGCCCTGACCTACTACCTCAGATTCTCCTGGTGGCCCGAGAATGGCCGGGTTCAATTCCAGGAGCCCCCCATCAACACTCGGTTGATTACGCCTCCATGTGGGCGGGCGCACATGTCCGTCCCATCCCGGCGACAACGTCTCAGCTGCAAGAAGAAGCAAAGTGGCTGAAGCGGACAGTCGCAGAATTTGATCGGCTGGCTGCCGAGGAGCCCGCGTCGGGAGTGACCCGGACACTCGGGGTGGAATACCTCGAGGCTCCCGATCAAGCCTACCAACAGCAGGATGCAGCGAGCTTCAAGAAGGAAACCGGGCTCCCGGGGTTCAGGAAACATGCAAAGTCCGAGTTACCTGAAGGCGTTGCGCTCGGGTACGAGTACGAAACGTTTTGCATCAATTCACCAGTTTACTGCGAAACCTTGCTGCGGAAATTCGTGCTCCGCGGCGGCAAGACCATGCAGAAGAACCTGAGAAGCGAGTGGGAAGCATTCAGCTTGGCGGAAAACGTAGCGTTTGTCATAAATGCAAGCGGCGCCGGGTTTGGGGACCCGACATGTTTCCCAACAAGAGGTACGGGCCTCCCCCGAACATTCGGAGCATGATGATGTACACTGATACTTGAATTGCCTTTGTGTAGGTCAGACCGTTGTAACGGATCTCGTTCACGTGCAGAAAACCATCACCAGGCAAAACAAGGATGGTAGCTGGAGCTTCTTGATCCCAAGGTTCTTTAATGGCGGCACCATCGTTGGCGGAACGAAAGAACCGGATGATTGGCGACAGAAGCCGTGTGTGGCAACCAGGAAGAAATTACTGGAAGAAGGGCTCAAAATAGAGCCGCTATCCCACGGAGATGGCAAAATCACCCCCAGAAAGACGATTAAAGAGGTTGGCGTCATATCAGACGTTGTGGGAAGACGCCCCACGCGTCATGGGGGGATGAGAATAGAGGTCGAAGAGCGACGGATCCCCCAGTACCCAAACAAGGACATGAACTGTTCTGTGATTCATGCATATGGTGCTGGCGGCCGTGGATACGAGATCAGCTGGGGTGTTGCGAATGAGGTCCTTACCTTGGCATCACCTCTTTTGGCCAGACTATAAGCGGGTTAAATGTAACTACTGATTGGAAAAAAGGAGTGTTTCGGGGAGAATACTCATGTATGGGTAATGATGCGACCATGACCAGTATTTTCACAAGAATGTTTTACAATCTTCATCCCAACGCTCCGTCTCGGTGATGCATTACGCCTTCTTCCCGTGCACATAAGCCCCATACTCTTCAAAGCTCACCGCAAATATCGTCCATGCACAATTGTGTTTTCTTAACAACTAGCATGTGCATAGAGGGACGGGTGCACCGTCTTGCGCCTACTCTGACACCAGCTGAACCAGCTTCTGAGCATACCCCCGCGGGCAAGTTGCTGGCACATGCACATGGCACTGACATGGCCACCTGCGGAAATAAACTCCCAATCGAGAGGGAGTCTGGTCGGACGTTGAGTTCTTCGGCATTGTCCGGACCTGTTCCCGTTAGAGCACATGTACCCACGCTGGCTATCATTCAAACATGAACGTACCCAACGAACAGCAGCCCAAGCATCGTCGTGACCTCGAGGAAGATGGTGATCTCTTGATCCCCATCAGCATGTGTTTTGTGGAAGAATGCCTGGCGGAACATACCAGGGGTTAATCGATGGTCAACACCAATCGCCGTCATCTCGACTCTGTTTCTCGCAAGCATACATGACTCTGCATCGCGTGCCAGATCACCAAAGGCGTGCCCACCTCGTACATGGAGTCGGAAAGCTTCACGTCCGCCGCTTCTCTGCTCCGCATACCATGGAAGTTGATATGGACCGGACACGGGCCATCTTCGAGCGAAAACTTTGTGAGTCCGGAGTGTAGCACCTCAGGCAAACTCGTGCCTATCGCTAGAAGTAACTAGTTTATCATTTACAAACAACTACTGGGTGAAGTAACGGCACCAGAGCGGAGCAAACTTCTTTGGTGTGGCGCGGACGTTTTTGATCGCTATTCTATGAGTCGCTGGCTTGATGGTGATATATTGATTGTAATAGTTGGTCAAGTCTGCGTCCAGAAAGATCCAGGAGTGGATTTGGGTATTGGGGCTGCTGAGGCGTGGTAGCCGAAATAATTGCATTTCCAGCCATATCGCGAGATGGTGGTGATGTTTGTACTTTACAAGTCCAAAAGATACGACAGATAAAAAGCACCATTTGGCCCAATAACGACACCTAAGTTTCAAGAGGAAAAAACAAAAAAAGTTTAATTTATTCAGGAATTAGACAGTTCCCGCTCCTTCGTAGACGTTTGTTTCCTACTTCGGAGTTGCCCAAGAAGCCCCAAGATCAGATGAGCCGACATGCAATTGGGTATTGGGTCCCCGTGTTTCAACTCTACAAATACACACATGTAACCGATACAACTGGCCGCATTAGCTTTGCAGGGTTCCGTACAGATCCCCATTAACAAAGTCATGAGGCCAGCCAGTCGCAAACTGCGTCCACACAGTCTGAAGCCTCTTGGGCTCGACAGAGGTATCGCTCGCCAAAAACCGCAGGGATTCAGACAAGGTGGAAGCTGCGTGCAAGGAGAGGAAGCCATCACCGGGCCGCGGTCGAAACTTGGACGACTCGGGGCTCCAAGACGGCACTGCAGCCTCGGCAAGAAGACTCTGGTCAACATCTCCTAGATAGGCTGCCCGATACATGGCCCGCATCGCTCGCAGTGTATTAAGCCACTGGCTCGCGGCAGTCCAATTACCTTCCCATAGTGACATGATTTGCAATACTGTATCGAAGCCCCTTTCGGCCTCTTGAATAAGTGTTGCGGTGCCATAATGTGCGTCGTTTGAGTATTGGATCCAGAGCAACGTGTTCGACACGACGAAGAGAGACGCAGCTACCCAAACGGATTGGAGGTCCGAACGTGTTTTGGCACCGGACTTCATTAGCTTTGTGGCCATTTCTGCAGTTGCCAAGGCGTTCGTCACACATACATCTACAAGACCAGAGTCTCTATGCAAAAGAGACCATCCGGCGGCATCCACGGTCTCAACGAGGATCGAAGACCCGTCAAGCTGTGGGAGGTACGCCTGGTGCGCTACGCAGGAGGCACTTCGGATCAAGAAATGCATTGCGATAAAGTCCTTACCCTGGCCTAGGCTAGAATGGTTGGAATAACTATCGTCGGACCACTGGAGAATTTGTGGCAGCGAGAGACTCCACTGCCTCATCTCGTCGTGTCTCTGGTAAAACGGGCTGGCGGGATCCGTGGGTGCTATTTTGTATACAAAACGATGATTGCAGACGTTCAAGGCTGACATGTCGCCCCAGTGCCAAATGGTCTTGATGAGGTACGGCAGTATTCCTATGTCTGAGGGGAATCCGGTAAACGACTCAACCGACTGTAGTGTCAAGCCCCTGGTCGGTTCCTGATATGCGAGGGATGCATCCGTCCCAGGAAGGCACGAGGATATATTATCTCCATATATGGCAACTGGTTTCGTAAGAAAATACGCTAGTAGTTTGTCTACCAAGACACAAGCCCAAAAGGTTCGGCGGCGGATCTCCTGATCCTTTAAAGAGTGACTCTGGTGGTACTCTTTGTTTATTCTCATGATTTGAGCCATTCTAATGGCGGTACCGGCGTACATCCAGTGACTAGATCCTTCATTATCCAAGAACTCCGATAGAGATAAGACCAGATTCCCCTGTATGTTTTGTACTAGATCGTGTCAGATGCGACGAAGAGGGTTAAAGAAACGAGATTCAGCCTACCGCTAGGCTCATCCAGAGTCGTCCGGGCCAGTGATCTGGCTATTGGAGTATATAGGTGACTCGCTTCCTCTCCGGTCTGTAATCCAAAGTATTCCTTGGCTTCCGCACCCGACAGGTACTTTGCGGAGAGACAAATAATTGCCGTTGAGAGAAAGGGCGCGTCGGCCGGATGGTTCTCCAGGTCGGGACGATAGACAAAACCGCAGAATGTATTGGAGAGATGTCGTTCAAAGAATATGTCCAAACAGGCTTGCATAACCTTTCGGTCCGGAAGCCGAACGGATGCTACTACATTGTCTGCCGTCAACGGCAACGCATCATATACCTTGTCAGAGCCATCCTCTTCCGACTGCACAAGGGGGTCGAAAACAGGACTTGGCCATGCGCAATATATCCCGCGAGATGTGCAATGACGACATCTTGGGCGGGCTCCATCGCACTTTGTCTTCCTCCGTCGGCTACATGCCAGTGATAAGAGCCAAGGTTAGCCATAGAGCCCACGGAGCTATTATTCAGTTTGGTTGATGTACCAAGTCACACATGCCTGCGGAGTCCTACGACGTCGATGTGAACTGGGCTCATCCATTGCGACAGGATGATATGGAGTGTCGGATGGGGAATCGGCAACGTCGGGAAGAGAAGCAACTTGCAAGACGTTGTGTCCGACGAGGTCATCGGGATTGCCGACCCCGCAAAATAGATATGCTTAGATGGGTTACGCCAATGAATTTGCAACTGAATACCTAGTCGTTATCTCCGATCCTGATTTGGTTTGGACTGTTGGGTTGGCATGCAGGGAAAACGCCGATAAACTTGCGGGAAGCAGAGTCCATTTTTGAAATTGCATACGTTTCGAGTCTAGTGGTTGTTATTATCCGCGTCGTACTTTGAAGTTTGAATTGGATTCCGTATTCTTCCGTGTCGAAGCTTTCGCCATGGAATGGACGCAATGTCTCAATGTGACCAGTCAGTCCACAGGCTGGGTTCCAAACGGCCCAACACAGTACATAGTTATAACATCCGCATTTTGGAACAAAGGAAGAAATTTCTACCGACTTGGCCACTTGTATCCAATAATCTGAGTAACCAATAGAGACTCTGACAACAAAGCCATAACGACTATAGTTTGGACTGTAATAGTTGAAACCGGATAAAAAGCAGCTTTCGGATGGGACCATGGATGCCTTCAGATTCCAGAATAGAGATCTAAAGGGGCTTTTGGTCACGCCAGTCAAATTTTATAGTGAAACCGTGTAGCGACCACCTAGGGCTTTGTAACATGCAGGACTGTTGGACTACCTCTGCGGAAGCAATCGGATATCAACGCGTACGGGATCTCCCTTGCACCTTGCGACATTTGCAGGTTGAAGGTAAAAAAAAAAACTTTCTCTGCTATGCCACAGCGAAACAGGCGCCATGGACTACACGACAGAGTTACTCGAACTTCCCATTTGGAGCGTTGATTCTTATCCTGAGGATGGCAGTCCTTCCGAGCAGACTCGAATTTCTTATGAGCGAGCAAGAAGTGTTGTCCAACATGTAGGAATGACAACCAAGGATATTGTGACACTCAGTCCCAAATTCCGCGACTTCCACACAAACTGTAAGTAATACATGTCAGGCACACGAACCAGCAGAAAGCTGGCTACCGTTGACGCAGTACAGTCCTCGGGACGCCTGATAGTGCCGTCGCGACGATTCTCAGCATTCACCGGAACCTCTGCATGGGAACTATCGCCGCATATGCCGAGGACCATCCGGATTCGTACACGCGTGAAGTCCTCCTGGAGCTCCAGGAGTTTCAATCCGTTGGCGAATTCATGCTGACCGAGGTTGCTCACGGCTCCGATGCAAGTAATCTGGAAACTACAGCGACTTACAACAACGATGGAACCTTTGATTTGCACACCCGGAGCCCCATGGCAGCAAAGTCTATGCCTCCGACCTCCCCAGAGGCTGGGATGCCCCGGATTGCGGTTGTGTTTGCGCAGCTCATTGTGAATGGAGAGCACAGAAGAATCCGTCCCTTCATCGTGCGTCTTTGTGACGCCGACGAAATGGCTCCAGGGATGAGTTCACGCCTATTGCCCCGTAGAAAGGGCCCAAAAATACGTTGATCATTGTATCACCATGTTTAATCATGTCCGGCTAAAGCCGTCGGCGCTCCTAGGAACTTTGAACGCCGCCCAGGGCCTACGCGGAGAGTTTTCCCGCCAAGTACATCGGCTGACGGTCGACACATTGTGTTTGGCTACGGGTTCCATTCCCATCCTTAGAGTTGCAGCCTTCGTGTTGGGGAGATACAGCCAGCGTCAGCACGTAGCAGGTCCAAAGTTGGGCGAGAAAGTGCCCAAGACGTGCTTTGCTTCACAGCATGGCGCTGCCTCGGTAGCATTGACATTGTCATCCGTTCTAGAAGCCTACGCAGCAGCAGTTTGGGAAGCATTCTGCTGGGAAAAGCAGCCCCAGCTTCGCGATGGCCTTGCCTGCATCTTTAAGATGGCCGCAGCGATCGATACTCAGTCAGTCTTGAATGAGATGACTGACAGGTGCGGTTGGCAGGGCTCGTATACACACAACCAGATTACAGAGCTGGCATCTTCTCTTCGTGCAAACTTGATTGTGGAGGGTGACTTTTTAGTTCTGTGTAGTCGTAAGCATAGCACGAAAGTGCAATTGATATTGGATGTAGGACTATGCAACATGCTAAGGCAGGCGAGTAAATAGGATTTGTTTCGGAGCTTCTTCTTGGGCGTTATAGCATACCAAAGGCCAGAAACCCGACATCACTGCTTGCTTAACATGAGTACGGCGTTTGGAAGGAAGCAGCATGTCAAGCAAAGGCTATTTTGGGCACAGATGGCAGCAATCGTAACGAGCTATTCCACGCAATGCTTCTTCCGCGATGTCGAAAGCTGGTCCTCGCGGTCGGGCACAGGATGGCGTACGAAGCCGCCGTGGACTCGAGTATGGTGACAGTCGAAATGCTTCGGCTTTATGAGGCAGCTTGCATGCTAGAGACTCCAGGATGGTATGTTGAGAATACCAAATTCACGTCATCGAAGCTGGACGAGCACCACGCCATGTTTGCGCGTGCGCTACTCCCTAGTTTGGACAGGTTGCTTGACGAAAGTGGTGCGGCAGCTTGGATGACAGCACCGATACTGACTGAAGAACGTTGGACGGACTTTGTTGGGAAGCTCCCTGAATATACCTCAGATGGCTACAACAGCAACAGCAGCATCGCCGAGACTAGCAGAAGTCGTGTACGGGTTAACGCTGGTGTTTGGAACAATAACAATCATGCCAGTCTGTCCATCCCAGTTGATAGGGACTCGCGGGATCCTGGTGAATACATGGAGTTGGAAAAGTTGAGGGCTTCCCAACCGGTATCCAACCTCGCTTCTAGAAGTTGCAATTGTCTGTAGAGATGGCCTTTTTCAATGCAATGGTGGGCGGTGGTTTCGTGTGATATAAATGTCATATATAAACATTTGGAAGTCGTTGGTCTGCAAGTGTTGTAGCACTTGAGGCCAAGGAGGGGACTCCTCTGTTCATCCCCTTCAAATATCAAACTTGGTTGTGATTCTGTCGTATTTCAGTTTATACGACCACCGCGGTCTCGGTGAGTGTTAAGTTGGTGCGAGTAGTGGATGTTACCAAGTTTGTGCCTCGGAACTGTTCCACTTGAGGTCGTTAGCTGCTTTACCAAAGATCAATGCGTAAGCAGCTCGGAAATAGAACTGTTCGACAAGCCAGGTTCTTCCTTCTACTTTCTCTACTCCATACCAGAACCTGGAGATTATTTTGTACTGTGTCTTGACAGATAATGGAGGGTGGCGGCCATGGAACCAAGCCACACGGTCAACTCGTTGCAAATTACGACGCTGAGACATCTCCCCAAGTTGTCGGCATGCATGCATTCGCAATGTACCCTCCACCACCACCCTGCTTGGGAGAGTCGGAAGAAGGCCGCGGGTCTTCGCAATTGCACACGCGGCGACTGTACTGCCAGCTGAGATGCAATGGATGCAACTGCCGCTAGATTATTTAATGTTAACGCTGGCTACGGCTGTGATGCAAGCCACCACTGAGAGAGCCCAGGGAGGGCTGCACGATCAGAGTGGACAATGAATCCAGGGCGACGCCAGTGGCGTATAGCTGCTCGCCTTTATTGGTGTGCCGCCATCCTTTTGAATCCGAGGACTGAAGCGCCGGGTGAGATGTGAAGGCCTTGGTTTTTTGGTAGCCGGTATTCCGTACGAGCGAGCCTAGGCTTGTTCACCATCCTAGCTCAATGATACAGTAAGCCGCCGACATGGAGGAGAACCAGACATGAGGGGCAACGTGGCTCATAGGACCGGGCAGCAGCGACACGTCGTCATGGTTGATACATGTGATAGGTAGGTAAGCAAAGAGGAGACAAATCTGACAGAACCAGGGGCGGACCAGATCTCGGCCCCACATGGTGCAATTCCTGCCCCTTTTTGCACATGAAAGATGCTAGGTACGTACCAAGTGGCCGCCAAGGTACTCACTCCCACCTCCACCTACCCTATCATGGGCCCATGGGCCATAGCCGAGTTTTATTAACTCAATTGGGAAATATCAATTGAGTTTGACAAGCAAAACATCGTCAACCTCATCTTGGTCAAGGCTTGCCGTCCTGCTAAAGTCTCGACGGAACCGAAACAAAATGTGGCCGATCGACTGCGCGCAAACAACATGGGCGCAACTAGACCACCATCCTGTTACTGTCAATAATGGAATAACCTAACTCCAAACTCTACACACCAATCGATTCTGCCACAATGTTGCATCTAACCTGATGTGCATACAAACGATATCCAGTATAATAAATGCATGCAACGCAGCCACGCACTTCCAGCTGCAGCCCAAGCTCTAGATTCCCTGTCAGAGCGAGACCTGAAAAAAAAAAAGGAGAGCTAAATCGTCGTGGTACACGAAACGTTAAAATGACAGGGCATATATCCGTCCGCTCGGCATTTCCTGCCGTTTCCCCCTTATTCCTCCTCAGAGCCGGAGCCAAATAGAAAAAGAAGACATATGGACGGGACTATGACTCACGTATTGATTACACCAATGGTCAAGTCATCCCAGTTGCACCAGAGGATTTATACTATACCACACTTGGCCACTCAATCCCCACACAAAACGCATTCACTTTACAAGTAAAAGTTGGCTTCTGTTAATTTTTTTAATTTTTTTTTCTGCATCTGCTTCCAGTTATTGCCCTTTGTCTTACGTCACACCATTCTCCCCGTTCTCTTCACAACCAGCAGCAACCATGTGCGCGGCAGACACCAATGGCTCGACACCTCGTCCATCTTCTCAGCAGAGGCTGCCATACCAGTCAGTTCAGGACTATCTCTCCAATATTCACAACTTCAGAATCATCGAAAGCACATTAAGAGAAGGCGAGCAATTTGCCAATGCTTTCTTCGACACAGGTATGATTCCAGGAAACGACAAAAAGAAAAGAAGTCCTCTTGTTTCTGTTTTATGATGTGTCCCTGACTCTCCGCAGAAACCAAGTTCAAGATGTGCGTCTTTCAGCCCGCCCCAAGCTTCAAGAAATAATAGAATGCCGGCTCATAGCGGAATGTAGTGCCACTGCTCTCTCAGATTTCGGCGTCGAATACATTGAGCTCACCTCCCCCGTCGCCTCGGAGCAGTCACGAATCGACTGCGAGACCATTTGCAAGCTCGGTCTCAAGTCCAAGATCCTGACTCGTATGCCAACGCATATCCTGAGTCTCTTTTCGTCACATCCACTTGCTGACACCCTCCGTTAGATGTGCGATGGAAGACGCCAAGGCCGCGGTAGCCACAGGCGTCGACGGAGTCGATCTCGTCATCGGCACCTCAAGTTTTCTTCGAGAGCACTCCCACGGCAAGGACATGGCTGCCATTACCAAGGCTGCTATCGAAGTCATCAATTATGTTAAGAGGTACGCAAGCCTTCAATGCCAGCATAAATACAGAATATATATATATACGGATGCTCACCCTAGTTCCTCAGCCAAGGAGTAGAAGTCCGATTCTCATCCGAGGACTCGTTCCGCTCTGATCTAGTCGACCTGCTCTCGCTATACAAGGCCGTTGACGCAATTGGCGTGGACCGAGTCGGTGTTGCTGATACAGTTGGATGTGCTACCCCTAGACAAGTGTTTGAACTGGTGCGTACGCTTCGTGGAGTTGTCAATTGCGATATTGAAACCCATTTGTGAGCCATCTCTCTCTCCGCTTGGTGCTTGATGTCTTCTGCTCACCCACGAACAGCCACAATGACACTGGATGTGCCATCGCCAATGCATACGCAGCGCTGTGAGTTCCGCTCCAAGAAAGCAAACTCTTGTATACTTGTACAATATGCTGACTCTGGACAGCGAGGCTGGCGCAACTCATATCGACACGTCTGCTCTCGGCATCGGAGAACGAAACGGCATCACGGTAAGATTCTCGAGCCCGGATACCCATCGACCTTGCTTGCCCGGGTTGTCGTTATCCTTCTCGAAACGACTCAATGCCCGCACCATTTTGACATCATCTAATCTAGTTAACCCACTCTAGGCCCTCGGAGGACTCCTCGCCCGAATGATCGTCTCGTCCCCCGACTATGTCCGCTCGCGCTACCAACTCTCACAGCTCAAGGATCTCGAGAATCTTGTCGCTGAAAGTGTCGAAATCAACATTCCCTTCAACAACCCCATCACGGGCTTCTGTGCCTTTACCCACAAGGCCGGCATTCATGCCAAGGTATGCCTGCCCTTTCAAACCAACCCAACACACGTGGCAGAGGATAACAAGCCAACCATGTATAAAAACAAAAGGCCATCTTGAATAACCCTTCCACATACGAAATTCTCAAGCCCGAAGACTTTGGTTTGAGTCGATATGTCTCATTCACCAGCAGACTTACTGTACGCTTCCCACCGCGTTTCCGCCCGTCATGATTTCGAAGCCATTTACCAACGGTGATGCAGGGCTGGAATGCCATCAAGTCTCGCTCCGAGCAACTTGGTTTGAGCATGTCTGACGACCAATACAAGATTCTAACTGCCAAGATTAAGCGAATGGCTGACATCAGACCTCTTGCAATCGATGACACAGACTCGATCATCAGAGCCCACCATCATGAGCTGGAAAACGGCAAGGCTTGAGAGATTGAAGACTAGAGGTTTTTCTTTTCTTTTCTTCTCCAAAAAAAAAAAAAAAAAAAAAAAAAAAAAAAAAAAAAAAAAAAAAAAAAAAAAAAAAAAAAAAAAAAAAAAAAAAAGGAGCCATGAAGATTGGAATTAGCGAGTTTCGTATTGTGCTACTAGGCGAAATAAAAGCTTATGCCCTCATTGCGCGAGGCTCGTTTTGCATAGATCCAGCGTGCCAAGTGTGTCGCACAACTCACATGACATGAGCATGTTGCAATATTGTTCACAGCAGATGACACACGAAAAGATTGAGAAATACCACAAGTTGTCAGCCTCACCGAGGAAGCAAACGTGAACAGCAAACCCGTCCCTTTCCGTCCCTGCCTCGGGACACAGCCGCCAGTGTCTAAACTGCCAAACAAACTGTAACCCCTCAAGTAGCCGACACGAGGGCGTAGAAACATACCGGGACATCGCAGCTCGTGGGATGGCATGAAACGCTCCCATACATGCGTGAAATCGCTGACTGCCGGCCGTTCTCAGCGTCTGCTCACCTTCACCTCAACCCACCACTGCCTTACACGCAAACACCTCCATCATTCGAGCAAGCACCTGCACCAAAATACCATCTTACCTCCCATCTCCAACCTCTCTCCCCGGCCCGGTGTTGGGTCTCCTCGCGCCGCCCCAACTCGCCATCTTCCCAAACCGCATGTTTCAAAACCTAGCATTCCATCTCCCATCTAAACTGTATCCTTCTCTAAATTGATTGTCAGACTTCACAATCCACCATGAAGAGATATAAAACCGTCAAACGGCGACAAGCACCCAGAAACTCGGTTGTTCCCCCAACAAACCCTCGCAACAAAACGCAAGACGACTCTCAGGAACCACCCAAACCTTCCAAACCACCCGCAAATTCCTCCCTCTTGGAAAAAGTCAAGTACGCAATGGACATGGAAGACTTCTTCCGGCAGAAATCCAAATCCGCCGAGTTCCAAATCAAAGGGCACAAACGAGAAATCGCCTCTCTCAAAGAACAGCTCCGGCGCAAGGGCAAAGCCATGGAGGCGCAGGACCGCAGGCTAGACATGCTCGCAGAGGACCTCGCGGAAGCCAAGAAGCGCGCCGACGAGGCGCAGCAGAAACTCGCCGACGAAGAAGCCCGGCGCGGGAACGAGCCCGACGAGCGCCTCCGCCAGAAGCTGCAAGACAGCCAGCGCGAGTCGAAGCGGTACCGGACCGCGCTGGCCGCCGCGTTCAAGCTCGTTGACGGCTTGAAGGACAAGACGACGCTTGCGCAGCTTCTCGCGCAGACGGACCAGCAGCTCGCGGGCAGCGCGCCGGCGGAGCGAGAACCCGCAGCAGCCGGGCGTGCTGCAGCGTCAATGATCAGACTCGAGGACAGCAGTGACGGGGACGGCGCTGGAGGAAGCCTTGGCCGACGCCGTGTCGCCATGCTGCATACGCCCGTGAAGCGCGGGCGAGAGCGGTCGAGCGAAGACAGTGATGAACAGCCGCTCACAAAGACGAGGAAGCTTGGCAATAGAAGCTCTCGCAAAATTGTCCTGGATGAATAACGGTTTTGTGGCATGGGTTCTCGCGATGCCATGTCAAGACTGAGGTTAGGTTGGGCGGGTTACTTTGCTAGTTGGAAGCCTTGATGACTTATGAAGTGAAAGACGAGAGATTACAAAGCATGAAGGCGTTGTTTTTGGCACATATAAACCGCAGAACCACAGCGGCAAATCAGCAATTAAAACGGGCGCCGAGAAATGTACCATAGAGTTGCGTATCTGTGCTGATAATCAAAAACATTAGCCGCGCAGCCGGGGCTTTAAAAAAAACAGAATACAAATGAAAATCACCAAACCCAACCAGTCGCTTGCTTACAAGTTTTCCATTATAACAAGAATGGTTGTGCTAAACGTTTCGAGGCTCCTCTGAAAGAAAATCTTGATACCTCCACCAAGTTGCTGCCGTGAACGCCATTCTCCTCCAATTAATCCATGTCCGTGCACGTGAAATCCTGAAATCCTGCCTCACCCTCACCCTACACGGCTGCCTCATTCCCCCCCGCCCCCCAAGTATCTGTATGATCGAGTCTACTGCTGCCGCTGCCCTACTAAGCCGGAGCTTGCCGCACTCTCTCCAACTTTGACCTCGTCATCAGGCACCCCTACAGCAACACTGCCTGCAGCACTGATAACGCTTTGCGAGGTCAAACCACGTTCGCGCTCTGGCCGTTGGGGAACAAGGTTATCGCGAGGACCAGCAATGCTAACACCACCCGAGGGAGCAACGCTGACGCTAGCGGTGGTACTGACACTGTCGCTTCGAGGGCGTGCAACGTCGGTTGATCGTCGAGTCTGAACCATTCTTTCCAACTCTCTAATGCGTCTCTTTAGGGTTTCATTTTCCTTCTTGGCCGATTCGAGCTCATTTCTATAAAATGCAGTTTCTTCGTATCTCATTGTTGCGGGCATAAGACCTGGACTCATTTGGTCCGTGAGGCTTCCGCTACCAGGAGTAGCGGCGACTGAACTCATAGCAACCGACGATGCGTGTGGAACTCGCTGGCTGTGAAAGTAGCTCGACGGATCCAATGCACTTTGCTGAGGACCGGGGGAGTTGGTACGGCTAATTCGCGAATGCGAGCTTTGTCGGGAGAGCGGGATTGACTGTGCTGGTCGTGGCACGGGGTGTCTGGCCTCGTACGAAGACGCCAGCTGCTGCAAACCATGATTTTGGGAAGCAGACGACGAATTACGGTGGTGTCGACGAGCGGTGGGGATAGTAAAGCCCGAACCGGAGAGGAGAGAGGATTCGGTAATGGGATCGTGAGCTGAGGCCGAGGCAGACGTTGAGGATGTGTTGGAAACCACGGACGCATTTTGAGCAGCTCGGAGGAGGGAAAGTTCACGCGTCAATCGGTTCACCTAGAGAAGAACGAGTTAGACTACAATCCCGCCAGGGTCGGGCGAATCTCTGGATTGGACGTACTACTGCCTCCTGCTCCTTCTCAAGCTGCATATGCAACTCTGATGCTGTCAACGGACGTGGATGCCTCAATGGTCCTGGGCCAGGCCCAACAGACGAATCACCGGATAGCGGCGGCGGTTGAGATTGCAAGGGCTGGGCAGCAGCGAGCTGAGGCGAAGCGGACGACGAGGCTCCATGAGGCTGGCTCAAGCTGGCACTACGGCTGTGAGAATGGCTCACGGCATTCTGGTTCGACGGCAGAATATGGATGGACGAGGACTGAGACGGCGACGACACCATGGGATGCGAGTGTGGAGGAGCCATTTGTTGCGACGACTGTCGACGAGAGAGAGCGAGCGAATGCGGTGACGGAGGGACAGAGTTGAGATCGGGCATGGCTTGAAGAGAGCCAGATGCCAACCCTCGAGCAAGAGCACGAGTACGATCAGAAGGATAGGCAGCGACGACTACTGGTGGGCTGAACCTGGTCGCCGCTTGTCTTTGCCCAGTCGCAGAAAATGAGAAAAGCAGAGATTTCTATAATGGCAAGACTGAGCATGAATGAAGCGCGAGAAGAGTTTTATTTAAAAAAAAAAAGAGAGCCGCGTAAAGGGAGACGCACGACGTTGTGGTGTTGGCTGTCGTGTCTGGTGTGTCGAACGGACGAATCGAACGAGCACAAGGACAAAGGTTGTGGTATTCACTGAGAAGACGTAAGTGGGGCCGCTTTAATGTCCACGTTACATGTCCAATGTTGGGCCACCTGTGCAAGCATTTGGTGCTCCTAAGCCCTGTGCGGAGCGGGTGCACCCACTGTAGCCTCAAGCTAATCTTTTAGTTAGATGCCATCCGGTCTCAAAGGCGCTGTGGCTGGCACATGTGCAGCTGACTGACGGCCCGTCTTTGTCGACTGACAACATTGAACTAACTAACTGCTGATGCTCGTGACGCGGGGTGATAGGACATGTAAGCTTAACGATGAGCAGACCGACCAGACGACACGGAGAGGTCGCCTAGTGGTGCCTGGCGGCTGTGGGGCGCCACTGCCTTTGCACTGGCTGTGCCAGCCGTATTTGGGCTACCTGGGATTCAAAGTTGACCAGACTTGACGAGACATGATCCAAACGCTCCAACGTACTCCGTATGGCAGGTAATAACAATATCGAAACAACTGCGACAATTCGGCCGTATAGACCGGGGCTAGCATGAAGCTCATTAGACCTGAAGCTTCACCGTTATTCATGTCATGGCATCGTCAATGCCTCAGTGACGACGCATAAATCAGCCATTTGGCATTTTCAGCCCAGTTGCCGAGCCGCAGCCACGGAAGCTCTGGACGCCAAACGCCGTCACTCAGTCAACGGGCTCTGTAGCATTGATTAACGCCCCTGTGCGATGGTCCGCTGTTACACACGCCTCCATTGCGGCACAAGATCTGGCAAGGGGTTGCCATTTCAATGACTTGACTGAACAACGCTCAGTGGCAACTTGGCAAGCGACCAGTTTGTACCCGGCCGCGCGCGTGCCGTGCCCACCAGGCGAGCTCCACCATTTCGGGACCAGAACGTCAAGTCTAACCCGTCATCCTGACGTGTACACTACCATCCTCGTGCGCCGCCTGGCCAAAGCCAATGCGCAAACCTCCCGGTAAGTTATGATGTAAAATGGGCAAGTATGACGGCATAGAAGGACAGGCTAGGGGCCAGAATATAAATAAAAAACTGCAATAATTCCGACAATGCCCCATCTGTGAAAAAGAACCATCCACATCCTCGCCTGGCAAACTCCCGACATACTACCATCCCACCGAGTGATAGACGACAAGATTGAAACAACGACACCATGCCCGAAGGACAACAGTCGCCGCCTCCCGAGCGCCAGACCGGCAAACAGCTGCACGACCCTCCCGCTAAAGGATCTGGGGTAGATGAGGTCGGTAACAAGGGCGAGAAGATGAAGTCTGAGCTGGAGGTATGCTGCACGGAGCGTGACATGAATTTCTTCTTGTACTGCGAAAAACGCACTAATGCCTTTTCTTCTTTAACTATAGAACCTTTCATCTAATCCCAAGGGACCGATGGATGACCACCTCGCAGAAAAGTTCTCAAAGGAGCCGGGGAACCCGGTTGGCGCACATATCCAGAAATGAAAACGCAAACAAGTCACCACTATTATAGCGCAATGCTAGGTAAATCTTGAATAAACGGATAAAAGATACTGTCTCGGAGGAGGTAAAGTTTGGTGTGCTAGACTACATATTTCTGGTCGTTCGTGTATTGCTGGTACGAAAAGCCAATTTCCCATAACGTCCATTCTCAAACTAGCCACTTGATCCTTTCAGTAGACCCGTCCCATACCTAACCCGTCTTTTCATCTGCAGGCTTGGTAGCGGGAATGGCCTCGGTAGGGGCCACAGCAGCTGGGGTGGTTGTAGCTGGCGCACCCCCAGACGTAGCGGTAGCAGTCGCAGTAGGCGCGGCCGTGGGAGAAGACTCCTTGGGGGACTCCTTGGGGGCCTCCTTGCCGAAAACCCTCTCCAGCCCGGCGGCCTTGTAAGCGCTCCCGCCGTGCTCCTGCTTCTTCAGATCGGCGAGACGTCTGGCCTCGGCGTGAATGTCCTGCACCTGGCGCGAGCTGTCGGTGTAAAACTTGACAATCTTCTTGCCCGTGGGGTGGTTGCTGGCCTTTTCAAAGTAGGAGCCGATGCCGGTGAGGATGCTGTTGGCGCGCTGGGAGATGCCGTAGCTGGTGTCGGCGGCCTTGGCGCGGTCGGTCGCGTGGTACTTTTGGTCGATGCTCTGGATGGTGCTGAGGAAGCGGTGGGACACGTTGTGCTTGGTGTCGAGCTCGATGGCGCGCTCGATGGCGGCGTCGCCAACTACGTATCCGTGAGCGAGATACTCGGCGAGGATGCGAGCGCGGGGCTTCTCCTCCTGCGTGATCTCGTCCGAGTCGCGGTCCACCTTGGCGTCGTGTTGGCCCTCGTCGTCGGTGGTGCTGCGGGAGCTGGTGACGGAGATGTGGTTCGGTCCAAGCTGGGTGTTGTTGAGGAGGAGGGCCGTCTGCATGGCCGTTTCCTTCTCAAAGGTGACGTCGGCGGACTTGACGTCGCCCTCGGAAGCGACTTTGAAGTCGGCAATCTTGCCGCTGCCGACGGCGTTAGCCAATTCGTTGCCATTCAAACTCCACCGGGCATCGGGTAGACGTCACAAGAGGCTTACCAGAAGCTGAAGAAGTTCCTCACCTCATCATCGCTGGTCGCGGAGGCGATATTCTTGACGTGGACCGTTGCGGCAGCCATGGTCTTACCCCGCTATCACAGGAGCTTGAGGAGCTGTTCGAAATATGGATAGAGCAAGAGCTTTTGTCTTGTATATTGTCGCGACGCAGATAATTACGCCAGAATACAGATATTTGCGAATAATAGCTGATTTAAAGGTCGAAAAATTTCTTATGATGCCAAACAAGCACGGAGGAACAAGGATTCAAGGTGAGAGAAGTCAAGAACTGGCTTTAAGGAGGTGCTCATGAGCGGGGCAAATGGCGACGTCATCAACAACTGTGGCCAAGGGAGCTCTCGTGTTCAGCTGCTCGAGTG